CTATGAATGTACTATTGCTGCGAATAGGATCACTTTACTGTGACTGTTGCTGTGATATCAAGGTAACCACTTTATCACATATAGTTTTATGTTATGGAGGTGATAACTTTAGCATATCTGGTGATGTGGTATTGAGGCGATCACTGGTCACTCTATCATATCTGGTGCTGTGATACTGAACTGATTACTCCACCTTATCTAGTGCTGTTGTATTGATGTGATCACTTTATCATATCTGGTGCTGCGTTATTTGGATGATCCCTTTACTGTGAGTGTTGCTGTGATAACAGGGTGATCCCTTTTTAATATCAGATTCTGTGTTACTGAGGTGATCATATTACTATATGTGGTCATTAAAACTCTTGATGTTATAAGTTATTATGTTTCTGCAGAGAGACATACTATTTTTCTATTGTTTCTTCTTTTTCTTCCAAACACTTTTCAATCGACCGTCATTCTTTAATTCCTCGGAGGACTGACTTGAAACTTGGTAGTGTCATACCTTGATTTAATACGCCGATAACTGCTTTTAATTTTTTAGAATTCTAGGGGTGAAAGGTCAAATAATTCAAAAATGTATATTTTGGGCTCCTGTGCGGTCATATTTACAACAATCAAAATGAAAATTAGCACAAATGTAAAATGTAAAATGTAAAATTTCATGTGCCCAAGACATTGACATAAAAAAAATTGTATTTGTTTAAGTTGAATCTTTTTATGGGGGCCATAGCTCACATAAAAGCATAATTTTGAAGTTTTTGGTCAATTACTCGGCCACAGTTTGACCAATTTACATGGGATTTGGTACAGAGATATTTTTTACAGGCCCCAAACAGAGATACAGATAATTTTGGAATTTCTATCTTTTGCTAAATTTTTCAGCGAGGAAAGCCCAATTTGGGTTTTTTGTGAGCTATTCATGTGTATGTCAACAAACGTACATTGGATTTGGTACAAATAAACCTTCTTGCAAGTTCCAAGCAGTGATATACACAGTTTTCGATTTTTCTGTGTTTTTCACGATTTTTATCGTGTCCAAATTGGCTATGTTTGGATTGCGTGGTGGAAACATGTTGCATCTCCCCCCGCAAATGTTGACCTCTTTAATTGTTTTTTAGTTTTTCAACATGGTGGAAACATGTTGCATCCCCCCCGCAAATGTTGACCTCTTTAATTGTTTTCTAGTTTTTCAACAATACGAGGTGCAGGTTGACCAATAAGTGAGATATACAACATGAGTCGGCATCTGCTAAAGAGTTTCTGTCTTTAGATTAATATATGTTCACACGTCAAGTTCTCGATAACTTAAATGTGGTCAAACTGCAATATAATAAATACTAAAACATGATTTTATCGTATAATGTCAATTCGTAAAGGAAGTAAAAAAAAAACACCTAATCTAATTTTTTTAAGAATTGCGAATTTGAAATATACTGTGTCTTTAAACAATTCAGCATATTTGTGTATTAACTAAATTTGCCTAATTAGCAAAAGGAAAATATACTGTACACACTTGTTATACTTCCAAAAGAACACAGGAGGTGATTTGAGAACATCCAATAGAATCATAAATTCAACATGAAAATGTGACTGCTACTTACCTCCCGTACAGAAACGTCTGTTTCCATGACAACTCCCATATCCATACCGTCTTGGATGTAGTAGCTACTATGAGGAGCGTTCAACGATAGAATACTTTCCCTTGTTCTGGAGGAGGGATTCTGACGAATAAGGTATGCATTCCAAGAAATATAACGGAGGTGGTTACGTGGCACATGGTGAAGGTCACAGTAGAATAACTTAAGTTTTACTAGCTCTCCCTCCAGATCAGATTCAATACACCACCCTTGTTTGTCTCGGTCGTAACAGTTAACTGAAGTATCTGGATCTCTCACAGTGGACACTTTAGCTTCGCTTATTGTATTAGCACAGATCATCTCTACGTGCACTCTCAGTAAACCTCTTCGAGTCAGGTCTGTCACCTGGCATCGAAGAGAGAAGCCACGAATCCGACCAGTAAGATCAGAAATCTGATCTAATATCCCAGAATCTACCCTGCGGTCGCCTTCTCCCAAAACCACTCGGTAACGAACTCGACATGGATGCTCAAAGCCAGTTAAACGATTAAGAAGAACCCGTGGCCGGCCCCCACTGTCAAGTTCATCATGGCTACCGTGAGGAAGAAGAGAGACGTTCCACTCATAATTACCAAATATAAAATAAGCTGTCTCGAACTTGCTGCTCTTTGAATGAGACCCCAATAAATGATGAGGTACTTTAATTTCACTATCAAAGACAGTTTTCACGTTACCCATGGAGAGTTCGATAAGAAACTCTTCATTTTCGTCAGTAAATCGGCGAGTACTCAGGTCTGCCATTGGAATCCATTTGTTAGTACCATGCGCCTGGTGATCCACGCTGAAACAACTCTGTTTCTGTGCTATAATCTCGTTTTTACTAAAATGTTCTTTGTTCAGTAGAGTGAAAGAAAAGTCTGTGTAACACTTAGTTCCCATAGATGGATTGCGAAGAATCAAAAAAACACCAAGAAGTTTGTCTGACCTCGTAAATGTTATGGCCCACCTATGGTAGCCGTACACAAAGTCTTTGGTTGTGGCATCTCTGTGTAAATCACGTGCTACGGATCGTGTGACAATAAACGTGAAGACGCCGGTGTTCGAGCGATCGTTCAATTTGGTGAATCTGTTTAGAAGTGCCATTTGTCACGTTGTCATTCGGACTCTAGTGAAGGCTGAAGAATGGGAAAAGAAGGAAACATTAAAGAGATTACAACTGAAAAACATACAAGTGTTAACGTTTTCATACACAAGGAACATAAGTAAATAATGACAAACATGCTATGCAGATGTATATGTGCTATCAGTAACAACGTGACAACAGTATATAAACAGAAACATTGTCAAGCTATCATAGCTCCTTATACACATTAAGTAACATGCATATACTGTTTGTTTGTTGTTAAACATAAAGTTACATAATGGGCTACCTGTATTCTGCTCACCACGGGTATCGAAATCCGGATTTTAGCGTTATAATTCTTCAGACTTACCTCTGAGCCACTGAGGTGGAGGGATAATATACATAGATTTCAAGCGGAACATTAGAGTATGCACCTACATTTTTGAATAATTTCAGAATTGCATGTTTAAACGAAATTTTTGCATGTGTTGTATCAATCTTTATGAACATTTACTTATACAGTTTACTTCCTACACGAAACCTAGATAATATTTGTTGGAACAAATTGCAGTTTACAAATCAAAAGCCTTCCACTGCCACAGCGGTATGTCAGCGGACTTACAACGCTAGAAACTGGTCAGAGCACAGATAGCCTATCGTGTAGCTTTATGTTTAACTTCAAACAAACAATACAAATAAAAAAAATAATGAAATCTCCTAATTCTTGAAATATAAATTGTAGATGAAGGCAGCTAGGCATCACCACCCACCACCAACTCTTGGGCTACTTTTGTACCGACGAATAGTGGGATTAACCGCACGTTATAACACCCCCATGTTTGGAGGGATGGGGATTCGAACATATTGCGAGTCGAGTGCCCTAAGCAGCTGGCCATGCCGGGCATTCGTATATCGATACAAATTGATAATAAATATTAAAATAAACACTGAGTACGATATTAAACAGTGTAACAGAAACTTCCTGTAATATATTAAGTTTTTAAAGTAATCAAATACGTATCTATGTTATGAGATAATAGGTTGAGTAATTAAGCTTTTACATATCAGTGAATCAACCTGTTCAATTTTTCTTTTGATGGACTATTAATGGTTCTCGATGTTCTAATAAGCGGTCTAGAGTTCTTCTTCAAACACGCTATAAAGGGTTGATTAATTACCACTTGTAGACATTTATGTATCGTGTGTACAGAAATGCAAATGCTTTTTTTTCTTTAATTCATAAATTGAAGAAGGGAGCAGATTTTTACCATAGTCTTTGTTGAATTAACGATTTTCTATTGTTGGGTGTTTGTTTACTTTGTTGTTCGCTCGATAACTTGACGACAGTTAAAAAGTAACATCATTAGGCTTAACTCATTCATTGTTTATTGCATGGTGTCAAAATAGATTTCTTGAAGAGTCAGACGTCAATGTCTTTGTCTATCGGACTTATGATGAAATTTTTTTCTGCGTAAAAGTTCATGATATGCCTTGGAAGTGAGTAAATTTGAAGTGGTATGATTCATACATGTTATAAACACAGATTCGTATTTACTCTTTTAATAACAGTAAATAATTAATAACAGTCGGGATTGTACAATAAATCAATAATTCATTAAATATTGTTCAAAACTATATACACCTATTTAAGTTATTCGGATATTATATACAGGAAGTGATATCCTCAATTTTCATGTGTCGCACTGTAAGTTAGACGAGAGACGTTATTTTAAATATCAAACTATGCTTGTTATTCGTGGAAATACTTGTAGAAGGGTAAGTGATAGCGTCTCGCTGTAAATAACGTGCTACAGACCGTGTGACAATAAGGTTGGAAATGCTTAATGAAATGCTCATATAATACTAAATTTTTGTAGAATTTTGAAACCTAGGTGAGCAAGATGTGAATTGTGCTAAAATAAAGAAACGATGATTTAAAGTTGAAACCGAAAATTGTGGACTAATAGAATAAAAGAAAGTGGAAAAAAATAAGTTAACAAATTTCTATTGTAACAGCACAGTTTGTGTACAAGTATATGGAAACAAACATATTAACTGTACATTTATAAATTGAAGCACTACCCGCAATGTATCGTGATTACAGCGTATTTGATATAAATCGTATCTGGCGTACACACGTAATTCCTTTTACATCTCGTGTATATTTTATAGCGTGTGTTACTGGCTTATCCACTGATCCACTCGAGTCAGTGGGAACCTTGCCCAGTAATATATGATTGGTTTTCAATATATAATATTGCGTGGTAATGTAAAAACATGAAATTGTGGAGATCGAAAATATATGCACAATGGATCAATAAAACATGTTTTTCTATTTGTTTGATGTCTACCTGTTTGAACGAAAGAACTGATATTTTACGTATGTGGGTTTTTAAAATTAAAAGCATTTTACTTTGTTTAATAACGTGTTTGTAACTGCATTCGAACACTTCTCACTGGTCTTGCTTTATCTATTCATCTTTTTATATTATGTTTAAAAATCTACCCAACAATAACTTGTAATGTGTGTTATGGACTCAACTTCATCGTATTGCGTAATGAAACACATTTTGTCCTTTTCTTTTTTGACATCATTAACTTAACATTCGACATTCTGAAATGACTGACTCGTACAGTTTATTTTAGAATCATATGTGGCGTTTGTCTTCTTTATTTTAGCAATAGTTTGGTTTATTCTCTGAAAATATGGACATATAATCAATACAAGATGTGGTTCAGGAAAGCCAAGTATTTCTAGTTTATTATATCAAGAATTTGGTTTATTTTCTGAAAATCTGAACAATTAATTCAAGACTTTCTAATTAATTTCAAACAACTAATACCAGATACAAGCAAGGGAAGCGAAGTGTTTCCGTTTTATTTTAGTCATAGTCTGCTTCACTCTCTGAAAATGTGAACAATGAATCCGAGACATGAATCAGATAAATCAAGTTTTTCTATTTTATTTTTATAATGGTTGGTTCTTTGAAAATCTGAACAAAAAAATTCAAGATTTTGATCAGAGAAACCAAATGTTGTAACTTTGTTTTATTCCTTAGACGCTTCTTTCTAGTCATTTCATCACTAAACACAGAAATGAAAAGTTCTGAGTAAAATGTCACTTTTTTGACAATTCTCAGAAAATATTTAAAACTGGTGTGATTAATTAATTTCAACTACAAAAAGCAGATTATTAAGAGACTAAAGGTGTCGCAAACTAATTTCCAAGAATTCAACTTTAAGAGTAAATTAGTTTCAAAAATATACTAAAATATTACGAGTGACAACGAAACACTTAAATATGCCCTTAAAGTTTTGATGTATGAAATTTGTCACTCTTATCTATTTTTCTAGATAATGATTAAAGAAAACAGAGATAAAAACATTTAGAAATTAAATCACTTTTGATGAGAAGTGCAACTACTTTGATATATACTTTATTATTTTTGACAAACTAGTAACAATAAACCTGTCTTTCCATTCAGAAATGTTATTCCAATCAGGATATATGAAATGCGACCAGATGAAGGTGAGAAACCAGCCTTTTAATACCATTTTATGCATTTTTAATTATGCAATATTTATGCATCTTTTATTTTTAACTCAGATCTCAAAATAGGATGAACAAGCTCGTTTAGTATTTTACGGCTAAACAGTTTAAAAACTATATATCTAATAATAAAGTAACATATAACATTAAACCACAACTATCTTCTGACAAAAATTCATTTTCGATAATTTACGCTCGACTCGCAATCTGAAGGTCGCGGTTTCGAATCCCCGTCACACCAAACATGTTCGCCCTTTCAGCCTTGGAGGCATTATAATGTAGCGATCAATCCCACTATACGTTGGTAAAAGAGTATCCCAAGAGTTGGCGATGGGTGGTGATGACTAGCTGCCTTCCCTCTCGTCTTTCACTGCTAAATTAGGGACGGCTAGCGCAGATAGCCCTCGTGTAGCTTTGAGCGAAATTCAAAACAAACAAACAAACAATTCGATAATTTAGTTGGTACGTATTCGTATTTCCCCTGTTAACGTCAACACAGAAGCAAACAATGCCAGATCTATTTACGTATTCTAGTGGAAGCGTATAATGAAGGCAGTAGTAATAATAAAACTGCGTTTTCAGCAGTTTGGTATTAGAGACAACAACTAAAAGATCTAGCAGCATTTAAAAAAAAGAGTATTTCATATAAAAAAAGAAACAAAAATATTCCCCTGGAAATCTATTTAGTTATGTATTGCTGACAATTGTTTGATTTCTTGATGGCTATAAAACTTCTTATATTTCATAGCATGGCTTTTAAACTTTTTGTCGTATCGGTTTGGTGTTCTATTGAATAAAACAAAGACAGTCATACGTCTGAGGACAGGAGAAATAACACTACCTCAGGATTGAAAGTTGGCCATCGCCATCTTTTAGAATAGTGTTTCAAAAGTTGTCCGACTGTCCCAACCAACTTTGAATATATTTTGGAAAACGTGTTTAATCAACAAAATTTCTGCCTTATTTATACTCAACAGGTCAAAGTTTAAAAACACAGGAAAATAGGACATAACCAAATTGCAAGATGTAATTTTCGAAACTTTTTGCTAGGTGTCCTCTACAGTTTTCAACATTACTTTTGATGTTTGGACACATACATTTATTTTTTAACTATCACTATGAATGTCTGTAAAAATATCCAGAAAATAACATGTTATACTACGAACTGATTATGTGCTTGGGAAAATTACAACAACTTTAATTTTTTTCATATTTATAAGAAATGTTTCGTTAACAGAAAACACATCTACACAGGCGACAGAATATAGCAATTTGACGAAAAATACTAAGATAGTCAGTTAGAATAGACATATTACGAGAGGTATTATGTCCAATGTGTTATTATCAGCCTGCAACTAACTGATCAACAGTATATAGGTAATGTGCTTATTGTCCATGCAACTCCACTAGAAAGTTCTCGAGTTCTTTAAGAGTAACCATGGTTAAAAAAAAGAAAAAAGTTATTTCCAGTGAATGTGCTGACAGCCATAACATTTCTACTT